TCCTTTTACTCTTTGGGTACAGAGTAAAAAGACCTTTGAATAAAGATAAAGACAATTGCTGCTTCCAATCGCGTCTAAGACAGTTACATAGGCTTGCAATCTTATGTCTAGAGTCTAGACTATTCAAACTAAAAGAACCAAAAAGGTTTTTAAATAAGAGCTTATTGTTAATAAAAGCCAAATCCATAAATGGTCCATAATAGGTTACAAAAACATATTTGCAGAAATGAAAAAATTAGTTGATACGATTTCCAGCTGATGATATTTTTCCTAATTTGAAAAAGAAAATTTAAAAGTAAATAAAGAAATACTAGTATTTGGTTTCCTTTATTCGTGGTGAATAAACGTAATTCAAGTCCTGTTAAGGTGTTTTGTAAGTCCCCTGAAAAGGATTCACAACGAGCCCGCAAGCAAAACTAAATAAATATCTTAACATTAAGTGGTGAATTGAGTTTAGTTAACAAATAGCTTATTTGCGCCAAGGGATTTACTTCGCTCTGCCGAATTCGAATTGTTAGCGCAACAGCACAGCTTAATACGAAGCCGCCGTTCAATTTAATTCAAAATTGTTATCGACCCTTAAGGCATTACTAAAACCTATCAATCGGCCGATTAAGGCCAGAGGCCGTGTATTTAGCAAGGAATAGGATGTTTTAATAAGCTTAATCTTGATCAAAATTGCTTATTTAAATAAATGAGTGGTGCTAGAACTTAGTTGACTTCTACCCCGTTATACGAGTAGTTGTCCTTTAGTTTTTCCCATATTTCTGTGAAGATGGCGTAATATCTAGGCAGGACCCCAATTCAATTGATTCGGTTGCCTATTAACAAAGCCAGCCATATTAATGACTGACAAAAGGCATTCATTTACTTTCTTGATGAATTTTAATTATTTCTTTTCGAAGGAAAACCATATCTGTAAGGTTGAGGAAGCAACTGAAAAATATACTGATTGATATAATTAGGAAAACTGAGTTCTTATTTGTATTTGTGAGAATGGCTGTGACATTAAAAATAAAATAGAGTAAACAAATAATTGTAAATAATTACAAATTGTCGCTTGCTGTAGCTGTTCTTGTTATCCCTTAAATCCCTTTAATTTTGCTACTTCCTTTGATTTCTGCTCAGTCGCATAGTCGCTTGGTAAATATCAATTAGCAGTCGACAAAAACGAGCAGCACGACGACGACGAGAAAAAGCACAAGGACACCGGAGGAGATGGCGGTGAAGGGGGGACTCGAAGTGGAAACTGAAAAGGTGATGGAGGTGGAGGTGGAGATGGAGGAAGAGAGCGTACCAAGGCTGAGGCTGGCAAACTAATGCGCACCTAAATAAAAACTGTTTTATTGTTGTTCTTGTTCTCGTAATGCGCAACAATTCGCATAGCTTGCCCCCGATTGTCTGTGCTGGGATAGTGAGGGCGGTGTGCGCATAGGTTTGGCTTTGGCTTTGGGAGAGGTTTTTGGGCTTCGTAGCCTTCTCGGCGGCTGTGGGCGCAATAAAAACGCGAGCAAGTTGCCTAAAAGCCTTTTTGGCTGCCATTGCTTGCGGCAATTTCTAGGCCATTCCATTGATGTGAGGGCGAGGGCTAGGTCGAGGGTACGGGTGAAGTGCTTTTGGCTGACTCTGCTGTGTGTTTGTTGCTTTGTTGCTGTTTCTGTTGTTGTTGTTGTTACTCTTGTTACTGTTGTTGCTGTAACGCCCTACAGCCGCTGATTATTTCATTAAGTAAGTTTAATCGAGAGGCATAAATTCATGTTAATTTATTTTTGCGGCGCGCGAAATCAAAAGAATGTCAGTGGCATTGTAAGGTGCTATAAATGTGAGTGTACACATATACAACTTCACGAGTATATTTGTGTGCGTGAGTGTGCGTGTGTGTGCGCGGCTGTGGAAGAACAAGACAGCGTGCGTGAGTGAGAATTTATGTGAGTGGGTGACGAAATCAAAAGAATGCCACTGGCATTAAATGCTACTGTGAATAAATGCTTCACATAAACGGTGAGCCAGTGTGAGTCACGGTGTAATGAATACTCGTATGTGATATTGTTTTGGTCTGGCAATGGGGTACTGGCATCGGGTGAATACGAACTAAAGCATACTTTAGGTGACAGAGTTGGATAATCAAAAGAATGCCTCTGCCTTTATAAGAAAACAATTTCATGCATGCGCATCCTTCGCATTTAATTATAGTTCTACATTGAATAGAACAATAAAATTGAAGTGAAAAACGGGAAAAATAAAACACTTCTAAAAACTTCAAAGATTCAAATGTAGTTAGTAAACACAATTTCTTTTAAAGTGTATACCATTTGAATTTAAATACGCGCAATCTGATATTATCGTCGAAAAAACCCTTCAAAACTTGGCCATGCTCAAAAAAAGATCAATATTGGATGAAAATTTGAAAAACGTTCTATCAAAAATGTATACAAGTATATGTATATAGTTTAATGCAGTCTTCATGTGTGCTGCAAACATTCGCGCTTAACTGCAACACCTTTACACCCTTGGGTATAAGCTATAGAAACGATCGAACTGAAAGGTGCATTTAAGTAAAGAAATCCTTGTTATGTCCTCTAATGTCCCATTAATTATTCAAAGAATCCCTGAGTATTATTTATGATTTACACAGCCAGCAGAATTAGCATATTCCTATTTGGAAACCTTCCATAGTCGATTCATTAAAGAGTTATTCATTAATTTCTTTGAAGTTTTTGAGCTTCAATTGCTGCTTACAAATTAAGTGTTTTTATCACTTTTCAAAAAACACTCATTGTATATGAATTCTTTTAAACAAATACAGAGTTTAACCAAATATGAGTCATTAATAGAACAATTATGGCACCAATTAGGAATGCATGAAGAAGTGAAGCGCATATGCATTGCTTTAATCACAAAGGACGTTGAACGCATTTGTATTTGCAATGTTAATAAGCAGCCAAAAACGCACCATCACTTAAATATCATACAAGTATATACATATATGTATATGAAATCAAATGTGTATGTATGTACAAGCCAACATCCACATCTGTATGTATTCATGCAGCACATGTGTTTTCTTTCCTCATGCTCTCTATTATGCCCCAGAGACTTGCCTTTGTCGAACTTTGAATATTTTGTTTGCTATGCTCTCATTAATTAATTAACATTTTTCTGATAATCAAAATAAACCTCAGAATGGAAACGAAACCCCAAAAAGAACAAAAGCCATAGAAGCCGAACAAATAATTCAATGTAAGCATTAGCAACATTGCGAATCATTAGAATCGAAGATGAACCCAGAAGAAGTCGACTTTATTTCAAAATAAACTTATTTCAAACGACATTTTAAAACCAGTATTAGCCAAAACCAATATTCTTATATTTGCTTTTAAAAGCAAAGAGTGATACATTTGACCATTTAAGATACATTGAAATAAGTCCAAATAATTGCTAACAATTTACTCGCAAATTTACATTGCTGTTTTGATTCGTCTGGTAATGCCATTAGACTTTTCAGTGAAGAGTATAAAGGTACCTAATCGGGGTATACTGTTATACATATATTGTTCGAAGAAACACGATTCGTTTTAGAAAGCTTCAAGCTGCAATACATTTAGTAGCGGGAGTAATTTAATTTAATTATTATTATATTCATTCAATTATTATTATTGTGACTATTATAATTATGTTTCAATTTGTTTCAAATTAGCGCTAAGCGAAATTTGTATTCGACTAAGCTAAGTTACTGTTACTAAGTCCTGTTATTAAATTGAAATGTTAGGAAAAGCTTTTGTAGTACCTTGAAAAAAGTTCGCAAAACTTTCTTTCCAACATCAGAAACAGTTGTTTAAAGTATTTCAAAAAGGGCTTGCAATATTTGAAGGGGTTTATGATATACTATAATCAAGTAAAAGATCTGATTAGTAATGTTCACCAGCGGGTCTTTCAAACTATTTCTTTAAGTGATAGTTTGATATTGTAGATTTTAGAAATTGTTCTCTGCTTAGTATTCATAACATTAATTAATATTATCAAATAAATGAAGCCAATATTACATTTATTTGATAATATTAATTCCGAAATATTAATTAGAATGTGCATGGTTGCTTTCTTTTTTTTGCGCATTCACATACATTGCTCATAATTGCTTTGTTTATATTTTGTTGTCTAGTGTTACCGAACTTTTTATTAAAACGATCTATCCAGATCGCTGTTAGAGGCAGCGACAGGGGCAGTGATGAAAAGGGGGTGGTGGGTGGCGGGGTGCGGCGACCAATGACGCAGACAATCGGCATCGGCTTGACTGCGGATGATAACAGACAGTGACAATAAAAGCAAAAAGAAGAGCGCGATTGGCGACGAGACTGAACTAGCCTGATACAGCGTGGCACAGGCGGAATAGACAGACAGACCTTAAACATATGGCATATACTTGTACACTCATATGCATATATATGCATATATATGTATGTATGTACGAGTACTCGGAACTCTGCAAAGATAGAGACAATCCAGCACATGTGCGCCGGAACGGCCGCTGATTGCTGACCATCCCACACTTATGACTGAATATGAGCCATGAAGCTGGAGCTGAGGCTGAGGCTGATGTGGCTGCTGTTGCTGCTATCATATGGCTGCCGGCAATGTTTTTCTTGTTGTTGTTGTTATTGGTGGGCACTGTAATGACGCCGACGAGCTTAGATAAAAAAGATCCAAAACAAAAGCAAACGCATTGCAATCGAAACGTAACACAATCGGAAAGAGATTGCTAATTATTCCCCAAAGGAACTTTTGAGTGAGCCGAGGCCGAGCCATCGAGTGTCGAAGCGATCGAGCAATCGAGCAATTGACGCGCCAAATGACACTCCACTTAATCGCAGGGGACTCTGTATTTTCGGAAATGTTCACGAAGTAGTCACTCAAGCGCGGTAACAAACCGCAGTTGGCATTTGAGGAGCTCGGACCGTCGCATAAATATTTGGACAGCCTTGCCGATCAGCTCATTTGTTCACATGGAGTTCTTTGCCACGGGCGCGTTTCAACAGCTCTACAGCGACCTGGAGGAGCCGGCAAGTGCAACCGGCGATGTCAGTGATTTCTACATCGAGTGTGCGGGGAGCGCGCCACTAAACACAACACTTGGTATCGATGACTACCAGTTGGCCCAGGATTGCTGTTATGCGGATGTCAATTTCAGGGGGGACAGTGATCCTATTCCTTACAGTGAGCAGGACGGGGACTTGGACTACTACGGCATTATAACCCTCGACAGCAACAACAACAGCAACGAGCACTTCAGCAACCTATCTGAGGAGCAGTTGCAGTTCAGCTTGAGCGTGGATGCCACATCGGGGCAGGAGTTCAGCGATTGGGAGCAACGTCTGTTGGACAACTTTGTGGAAATTCCCGAGCTAATCGACTTCCTGCCTGAGCGCACGCCACTCTGCACAGACATGTGCGATGACTTCCTGCAGGAAAGTAATGACAACTTGCGCCTGGCCACTCTCTCAACGACATCAGCATCTGCATCGGCATCAACTTCCACCTCCACGCCCGCTATCTCACCAACAGATGCAGCAGCGGAAGAAGCTGCAGCAGCAGCAGCAGCGACCCAGCATCGTATCTATCGGCAGCAGATGCACCTGCCGTTACTGGGACAAAACGCTGCCGGCGAGCGGGGTTATCTGTGCACCTTCGGCAGTTGTGAGAAGCTATACGCCAAGCCAGCCCACCTCAAGGCTCACCTGCGCCGGCATCTGGGCGAGAAGCCATATGCCTGCAGCTGGCCTGACTGCAGTTGGCGCTTCTCGCGCTCCGACGAGCTGGCCCGGCATCGCCGCTCCCATTCTGGCGTCAAGCCCTACAAATGTGACTATTGTGCCAAGTGCTTTGCCCGTTCCGACCATCTAACCAAGCACCGTAAAGTGCACGAACGTCGTCTGCTGGCGGCTAGTCGGGCGGGAAAGATCCTGCCAGATGGCCAACTCCCGCATAGTGTCTACGCCGTACGTCCGGGTCGCAAGCGCAAGAATCAACTCTGAGATTGTGCTCTTGTTGTTAACATAAAGCCACTCCCTCACTTTCTCAGGCACAGTAATGCATTTCATTTTTTTAAGTTGAGTTAAGCCTCTAAAGCAATTGTTTTTTCTAGTTTCGTTAGCAATAAAAATCATATTATTTCAAGACTCGTTTGAATTCAGTTGATTGCGAATCAATGCCTTAGGAAAAATATTATAAGAAATGTTATGGATTATAACTTATGATAGAAATAATACAAAACTAAATAAAAGTCTTCAATCTATAAGCAGTGACCAGTGACTTGGTATATACTTGTAGACTATCCTAATGGTCGGTTCCATACATAAAAAACCTTTTCATTCCTGTTGTTCATTCTTAAGATTACCTTTTAAAGCTGCTTGCACGATGATAAAATTAGAGGCGCACTTGCTGCCGCTGCAATATCTCAGCTCAGGATAGAGTTAGAAGTTAGAGTTATCAAGTTAATTGATATGTTGGTTCGATCACTTTCAGTGAATGAATTCTGGATTTGAAAATCAGAAAAGGGTCGTAAGACTAATCCTCGTTTGCTGCATGATCCCTAATGACCCTTAATATAGAACAGACCTTTTATTAATAAATGAATGGTAGAAGAATAAATCCGACACAAAAAAAGGAAATAGACAGGATGAGCAAAGGCTGTGTTCGAGTATAAAGTATCTTATTTGGAATACAGTTCAGAGTCAAGAATTTAAAGACTGACATCTTTTGGGTGGAGGGTGAAAACTAAATAAGAAATGACACGAATGTTTGGAAGCAGAACTTTTTGACTGGTTTAGAAGGACTACAAGTATATTATCCAATCACTTGGGAGTGGTAGTGTTGCTAAGTTAGAGTACGATGGGTGTTAGGGCAATGGGATGGACGGGTGCCGTTTGATTGTTGGCTAAGTGGCTTTTGTGTTTGATGAACTTAGCCAAGTGTGTCTGTCTAGCAGAGTCTGAAAATGTCGTCCTTAATGGCGTAACAAAATCTGGCGATGTAAGAGTTTCGTCTTTAAAAACGAAAGAAACGTTTTAAGCATCCACAAATGAAATTTAAAGGTGCCTTTGTCGCATAACACTATTTGGTTGACAGAGAGGGCTTTATAGTGAGAGAGTTTCGAAAGGAAAATGTGAGTTTGTTTTCAAAGAGATTCTTTGAAGCAGCGCCCGCCATGATTATAGCTACAAGTTGTGTTTTCCACCTGCCATTCCCATCGCTTTGTGCTGCTCACTCATTCACTTTCAACAACATGTCGCACACATAAAATGGGCATAAACTTTGCTTAAGATTCACAGGCAAATGCATAAATCCTGTCAGACTGGCAAACAGCACAGCACAACATAATCTCGGCCTCAGTTGGCAGTTGGCTCACTCGGCTCACTGCGACTGAATGGAGGAGACTGGTTGACTTCTGGACTCACGGACTTGCGGACTCGAGAACTCGAGAACTGGCTGGTAGCCGGAGCGACGGTGGCAGTTTATCTTTGACTTGCTGTGCATGGTAATTAAGTTTTTATATTTTGCGGCCTCGTCGCTTGGCAGGCATTGTAATCATTACACTAACTGCCGTAGGGAGTGGCAAGGCGTGGGGCATGTGGCAAAGGCTTCTCCATACACACACACACACACAGACACACACAGACACCCACATACGCACTCAAGTACTGGATGGTAGCACTCGACACTCAACAACTATATCTTTTATGCGCTGTCATATTGCATACTTTACGGCTTTCAACGCGAGTGCTTTTGTACATTTTAAGAAAATTTACAGCCGTTGGCGCGTCGGCAAAAGTTGCTTATTGTATAATGGCATTTACTTTATGCAAAACGCAGCGGCAAATTCCACAACAATTATTTCAGCAAACAGCCATTGCCATTGCCTGCCGCCGTCCTTCCTTCCTTCCTCACTCGTGCGCCCTCCACAACGCTCATTAAGCGTTCGGGGCCAATGTTCAAGACAGCGGACAGAGGATGGCGGAGATGGGAGATGGGAGTTGATGCCGATGCTGATGCTGAAGGCAGCCAGAGAAGAAAAGGCAACAGCGGTGAGAAGCAAGGGCGAGGTAAGGAGCTGGCGGCATCTCCTGAAAACTTTGCGCATCTTTTTAAATGCATTTGCATTGCCGGCGCGCGTAGCCCCCGCCTGACATCTTGCAAATGGCATACCAACAACAACAACAGCAACAGCAAAAGCAACAACAAAAAACTACTTCGACGAGAGCTATAACAACAACAACAACAACAACAACAATAAAAGCAACAACAAGACGTGCTGCTTATTCAAAAGTAATTAGCATAAAAATAAATACCACTCATTAAGTCATGTTGTTTTTGTCTATTTACTATTTGATATTGCGTCTCTATGCCTCGGTTGCGGAGCAGCATAGCCGGCGATGAGCTACACCCTCCATCCACATACCCCCCCCCCCTCCACCCACACTACCCCGTTCCCCCACAGTGCTGCTTACTGTGACTTAACCAGAAATCTAGACGAATTATCGTCGATAATTACGAAGCAACAATAAATAATAAAAACCAAAATAACAATCAAAAAACACAGCTTGTTGCGCATTTCGAATTCATGCGTATTATTATGAAATAATTTTGGAATTACGTATATAGTACTAGCATTTCAATCAGATCTGTTTGTGTTGCAAGAAATTTTCCCGTTTCTCTGATAGAATTTGTTTGTATTTTCCAAACAAATATTAACTATGCACATTCTTATATATTTAATTGAGAATGGAAATCAATTTGCGTCACCCCCAACAAAATGTTGGGCGGAATTTATTAAAAATAATAAAGAAATAATTAATTCCAAATTAAACGCAGAAAGCGGAGATCCTCCTACAAAGACAGAGCAGTTGAAATGGAACAATACTAAGATTATTTATTTTGTGGCAACGTATTTCAAAGGTCAGGTTTCCCATTTAAATCCATGTGTATTATTCGATCATCCCGTAGGCACAGCAATGTTCCCATTTCTGAGATAAAATGCCCATTTTTGTGAAATAAATTAAAAGAGTTTGATTTTTCCCCCAACCGATCCTTGTTGGAAGAGCAATTTCTTAAACGAATTATGCATAATACATCACTTCTGAAACCAAGCACTCCCAAATTATCTGTAGTCGCCAATTGTGAGGATAACCCATTTTCCTTTTAAAGCAGAACAGACGAAAGTTGCTAATAATTGAACATTGAAAAGAAACCTCATCCTCCTATACTCGTATACTTAGTACAAATATTTAGCATAGCAGCTGAGCTGGATTCATTCGAGTCGTTCATTTGGTACGGAGTAGCTTAATTTAAAAGAAACAGCAAGTACCAGAATAAACTATGATAACAATGCCAATTTATTTTTTGTTAAGAAACCTAATGCTATTTCAAAATACATTTTATTTACATACACGTACGTGTACGTTTAGGGTGGCGAGTCTTTCTCTTTTTATACTCTGTACATGAAATGTACAAGAGTATATTAGGTTTGCGGGAGCTGAAAAATGTAACAGGCAGAAGGAGGCGTGGCAGACCCCACAAAGTATATATATTCTTGATCAGCATGACGAGACGAGTCGATCTAGCCCTGTCTGTCTGTCTGTCCGTCTGTCCGTCTGTCCGTCCGTATGAACACCTGGATCTCAGAGACTATAAGAGATAGAGACACCAAATTTTGCACGAAGATGCGTTATGTGTGTATTCTATACGAGTTTGTTTTATTTTTTTGATTTCCCCCCCACTTCCCCCCTATGGGGGTTTTCCCGATTTTCCATTCGTATAATCGCCTATATCTCGGAGACTATAAGACCTAGGAACACCAAATTTTAGTCCCAGATGCCTTATGTGAATACGCAGAAAATGTATATTTTGGAATTCCCCTCCCTCCCCCCTCTACCCCGCAAATCGTAACTCCCGTAATTCTTGGAATTTCGAACTAAAATTTTGGAAATACCCCCAGTTAGTTATTATGTGTCCGTATGCCAAATTTCATTATTATAGACCGATTTAACAAGAAGTTATAGCCATAAATATATTTGCTGATGCAGCGCTGCTGCAGCGCTGCTCAAGCGCTGCCCGCGGCTGTTGTTGATGTTGCTGTTTGGTTGACTGCGAAAATGCTTACACAGACACGAATTGATGCGCATAGGCATACATACACTCACACAGACGCAATTGCTATGTAAATGTGCAATTATACACCCTTTACGTGAGTTCGAATACCGAGAGAGGTAAAATCGATCAAATTTTTTTTTTTATTTTCTTAATTTTTTTTTATTTTCTATAATTATTGTAAACATATGTACAGAGTATTTAAAAGTCGGGACACCCGACTTTAGCTTTTTTACTTGTTAAATATTCTAATTGGCAATTTCTTTTCAATGAAGTATAGTAGTATATCTAGTATAGCTAGATAAAAAACCAAAAAGTAGTCAAATGTGTAGGGCAGCTCTATTCTTGCTATTCTGCTCTACTCTCTGTATCTTTCTGTTTCTGCTCTTTTCACCCAACTGTCTTTTATAGGAAACCGCACTTGGCCTTTTCGTCTTATAACTGCCAGCGTTGAATAGCACATTGGCTGCAGCCCAGCAAGCGCGATGGCATTGGCAACCAAGATGCTTAAAGACCTTTTAAATGTATCTTTAAGTAGCTTTAAGTGGCTTAAAGATACAATTTGGGGCTTTAACGCACTGCCACGGCAGCAATTGCAATTTTAATTAGATGCCCAGGACGTAGCATCAGGAGCATAACTTTTGTCAATGCCAAACCCAAAAACAAAAATGAGGGCAGTGTGTGGGTGTGTGTGTGTGTGTGTGTGTACGAAATGACTTTGGTGGCTAGAGACAAAGCAGCGACGTAGTAAGAAAATTCAATTAAATGTTCATCAAAAACTACAACAAAAATATAGCGACACAGATACATACTCGTAAGATAGAAATGCGAACAATGGGCGTGTGGGCGAGACTCCGCAAGCAGGACGAAAACTGACAATGATGGTGAT